TGATTCCTTTACTCTGAGTCCAGTTTATAGACTTATAACCGTTTTCCGGTATGTTACGGGTTTACCTTTAGGGAATTACACCAACTGAAGTACATACAACTGTTACATTTACTTTTCTATCATTATTTCGCGTGTAAGGTGAAAAAACTTGACGTGTTTGAAAAATATCAATGTTCCCTTAACATCTATTGAATTCTTTATAATGCAATTCAATGAAATTAAAACAGTCGTAGTGGCATCTTCCATAATAAATAACGAGAGATGTTTTGTGAGTAACTTGTGTATTTTACTTTATTTTTGTATGGAATTATTCCTACAATGATATTTAATTATTTTCCTACATAGTAGTATCTGTTAATTCAATAACGACCAAAAACGAAGAATTCGTTATTATATATACACTCCATTAGCGGAATTTTCCACAGCTATGGAAAACGGCGTTTAGTTAGGTTTTCGAATTCGTGAATGTTTGCCGTTAAAGGAATTCAATTTAAACTTAATGTTAGAAAATTTCTATAGGCTATTTCGAAATGCATTTCTTTTATTATTCATGCTATTTCGCAATCTCTTCGTCTATATATGAAGATGCGCGGATCTTCATCTAAATATGAAGGTGCGTGAAGTAAAGTAAACTTTGAGAAAAACTCGTAAAAAATATAGCCCAGTAGGAGTGCAAAATCCACAACTGAGACATACTCGACCACCTCCAGTCTATCGGGGACCAATCGGAACGTCTTCGGCTAATGACGGCTATCTATTATAATATCAAAGGGCCGAAAAGTTGCGATTGATCGGAGACAGTGTACCAGTCTACCTCCTGAAATTGGAGAAGAGCCAAAAAGTATTGCGAAGTTGGGTAGGTAATGCGATAGTTTAAGCCGATCGATGATTTATGAAGATGATGGAGACTATGGTTTCTTGCATAGCAAACTGGCGTTTACCCATGCCGGAAATTTCATCTGGCATGTGGGGGGGGGGGGGGTGCGTCGCGTGCTGTACAATGGCACGCTTAGGATGACATCATTTTCCCGTTATGAATGAAGTTGCAATTTCAAAAGCTGTTGTAAGAAAATAGTTACGGCTGTAAAGATATAAATTTGCGTTGAAAAAAAAGATATAATGGAATATTTTAGAATATGCAAGAAAAAACATCTGACATATGTTTGCGGTTCGGGATCGGAATCGGCAAGCCTCGTAACCGCCCAATGGGCGGGTCACCTCGGGACGGATATTCCGGTCCGAACCGCAACATATGACAGATATTATTATTATTAAGCGTTGTAATTGCGACACAGATTAGGTAACTATTTATAATTATGCATTTTGCTATTTTCTATTATAATTGTTGCAATTGGACATTATATCAGTTCAAGATTTTTGTCTACAAGTAAGCAGATATATACGGTGGCACAAAGGTGACATGTGTGTGTTTTTATTTATCTCGTGCGCACGAGATACTATGTCGTGGCGACAAGTTACTAAGTCGTGGCCACGAGATAGATAAGTCGTGGACACGAGATACTCACGAATAGCATATCATAAATAACTCACATGACGTCACTTATTGTCCATAGACAGCGACATTATTAGCCGAGACTACTTCCTACGTTATTCGAAAACATGTTTAATTCCGCAAATTTCGAAGCGTCAGAATGGAAAATAAAGTTCAATATTTAAAAAAAGAAAGATCGCGATACTGAAATAAAACGTAGAATGGTCTAAGTATGTGCTACCGATTCATTTCCGACGGTTTTCATGTTTGTATTATCCTTAGTTTTCTTTAGGCTGCCAAGCTGCTAGGCTGTAAGGCTGCTAGCTTCACAAATTTCGAGGTGTCAAAAAAAACAAAAAAACAAACAAACAAAGTTCAATATTTAAAAAAATAAAGATCGCGATACTGAAAAAAGACGTGGAATGGTCTAAGTATGTGCTACCGATTCATTTCCGACGGTTTTCATGTTTGTATTATCCTTAGTTTTCTTTAGGCTGTTAGCCTGCTAGGCTGCAAGGCTGCTAAATTCACAAATGTCGAAGTGTCAAAATGAAAAGTTCAATATTTTTTTTAAAAGTACGCGATACTTAAATAAGGCGTGGAATGGACTAAGCATGTGCTACCGATTCATTTCCGACGGTTTTCATGTTTGTATTATACTTAGTTTTCTTTAGGCTGCTAGGCTGCCAGGCTGCTAGGCTGCTAACTTTACAAACTTCGAAGTGTCAAAAAGAAAAAAAAAACAAAGTTCAATATTTAAAAAAATAAAGATCGCGATACTGAAATAAGACGTGGAATGGTCTAAGTATGTAACCTACATAAAATCAACCCTTTAGGTTTTGGCACATAGACCGCACAGATGACATTTGATATGTTGTTTACAGCGGATAAAAGCTATAGAAATGGTAGTATAAAATGTTTTGCTATTGTCGTGTGAAATTCAAAACTGGTCGCTTTAGCTTTTTTTATTCGGTAGGTTGTGTCAATAATCTTTAAATTTGATATAATACGACATGACAGCGCTATAAAATATGAAATATAAGTACATGTACATCTGTGAATATCCGTTAATACTGGTATAAGCAAAGTGATGTTGAAAAGGTCACGTTGATCAGATTATTTAGTGTTCAACATCATTTGATTACCAAAGAAATTGTAAATCAGCTGTTCGGTACTTCTGATTGGCCAATAGCAACGAAACCGCAACGTTTCGCACAATGAAAGAAAGCAATCGAAAGACCGTGTAGAGGTTTGAAACTCGAATCTTGCGTGTATCAGATGCTACTTACGGTTCTGAGTGGTCCCATTTAATGTATTTAGGATTTGTATTATAGACCTTGAAAGATGATTTTTAAAAAACGGCTTATATTAAGTTTTTCTGATATATATGATCAGAACATGTGCTGGGATTGACAAATATACATTTTATTTGGATTTTAAAGACGTTTTGAGCTTCACACCCCAAGTGTCTGTGGTTTGTTCGATCAGACATAGCAAAACCTAAATAATAATGATAAATTGATGTTTAATACACTTGTTACCATATATAGTAACAAAATCGCCTATGATTTCAACTGATTATGAGTGTCACGTGACCTATTATGAGTTTGCGGCCCGGGGCCGAGAACTAGTTATCAGCCCGCCGAACATGTACACTTGCTCAAACTGAAACAATGACGTCATATTTTACGTCATCAAATAGTTAACTGTAAAAGTGAAAGTAGGTTTGAAGCACAAGTTGCTTGATTTTATTATGAGAGCTTAAGCGTATTTCGTACAAACACAGTTTTATTACTATTGAAATTTAAAGGCCCATTATGCCTCAAAAGCAATATTTTTTATTTCTCAAAGGCATTCTATTTTTGGTATCTTGTTACAGTTTAAAATAATACTCAATAATTAAAATAATAGATGGACTATCTTTTAATTCTAATAATCTGTTGGCAAGTGGTATAATTATATTTAATAAGTATTTTGTATGCAAGTCAAAATACTACTTTGTTTACATTTTTCTGGCTTTAAGACACATAACGGAATATTTGTTGTTCCTTTTTTTACTTACATCTAATAGGCTTTAAATTCATTACTGAAACATTATCAAACATGTGTTTGACATTTCTTAAGAATAAAAAATATGTATTTCTGAGGCATAATGTGCCTTTAAAGAAATAATACGACAAATTCATTCCGAAAAAAATGAAAATAAATTTTGCTTCTAGATCCTACTGTACAGTAGTGTACTTTTAATACACAAAAAGCAAACAACTCTGTAGAAATTACTGAATTGTACAGTAAAGTCTACAGTAAAAATGCAGAAAGGAATTTCAACGAAAGAAATTTCAAAGTATTTATTTACAGAAAAAAATGCTACTATTAAATCTACCAAGCCGTCGGGGCCATTATTGCGGGCCGATTATCACCTTCCGACCCTACTCTGCCGTGTATTAATCTCTTACTCCATGAACAACCGGAACGCAAAAATGAAACAATGTTAGATAGCGAAAATGAAACAGTGCGAAAATGTAAAAATGCCAAAAAGCGAAAATGTAACAATGCGAAAATGGAAAAATTCGAACAAGCGAAAATGCGGAGAGTCGACAAAGTTATACTTTGTCGTCTCTTTGTGTTTTCGCATTTTTGTATTTTGAACGCGAAAATACGACAGATGGAATGCTTATATTTTCCCTTATAATGCCGTGTGCAATTCTTCGCCAGACCATGACTTGACAGCATCTGACTTCTATCAGCTAGACGACTGAAAACCGTTCCTATAGATAGTCTCTGATATGTACCATGCATGTTAAATTTAATTGAAATTGAAAATTGTATAAAATATGTGGGTAATTTTATATAAGGTTTTCTCAATTTTTCTGATTTATCGTGTGTGTGCGTGCGTGCGTGCGTGCGTGAGTTGAGTTGAGGCCATTTTGTCTCAAGAATGATAGCAAATAAACAAGACACGTAAATTTTAATCACCATCGAATCAATATGCAACATTAATTCGGCATGTTGATACATACAGTGAATAAATTTGATGAAGTGAACAAAATAAGCCAGATTCCGGTACATGTATATACAAACGTATATGCAAAATGAATAACACAAACGTTTATAAGAATTACTTAAATGTAAGACTCATTTATACGTAACTTAAGTTAAAATGTTAAAATATGTTATATGCATATTGTACACTATATAGTATACAAACTGTCATGTAACAGAACTTAGATTTAGTTCCGACCCTGTGGACTATGAAAGCATGTCAAACTATGATACAGATATTGAACTAGTTATACGGTAAGTAAGGTAATATAAAACTAGAGATATAATTAACAAACAAAGACAAATGTTAATGCATGAACTAACAAGCGCAAATTATGCCGACCATACAAAACAATTATACGCTCATTTACTCATTTTCAAGACAAAATTACTTTCATTCCGAAGAGAATATTTCGGCGTCTGTTAAGACGTCAAGTCGAGTCACTTTTTTGTTGAAAATATATTAAATAACTTATTGGCGCATTTTACATGTTAAGTCAATTTGTCATTAAATGATTGCCCGTCTTCGTGTATACAACAAAAAATGTGAATATGAATTGAAAAGGAAAGCTGTTCATACAAGCTCTGATACAGAGCTTCTTGTTGTATTTTTAATGAATTGATCACATGTACTCCATCAGTATGTTTCGATAGTGGAAGCACTTTCAAACTGTGATTGCGTCGGAAACAAAAGGCCCAGCAAATGAGGCTCCTCTGCAATTGATAACACAGTTTCTATTTATTGCTTTGTAACGCGTCTATTCCGAAGGAATTCGAAGAAAACATGAATTTGCAAACCAGATATTGTCTTTCCTCGCATATTCGCTTATTTCGTCCAAGTGTTCTTCACTTATTAAAGAGCGCTAAAAAGTAATAGGCTAATGTATCTTCAACAATACAGTTCTGTTCCTGCGTAAATCCACTGTTTCGTTGCTTAACGCCTTTTGTTTTTTATTTCTCAATTCATGGTAGGAGTCCTGGCTAAATTATTACGGCTCTTTAAGTAAGGAATAAATTTTATCACCTACAGAAAATGCATTTGCGTTGCTATCACTGCTGTCAACTGATAAGTTGATTTCTTCATCTCGTTCCAATACTTCTGTCTCATCATTGCTTCCGAGTTCATCGCAAATTCCATTGTAATCAACATCCTTATTTCTTTCAACGTTCTTAATCATTTCTATGATACCTTTGTCTACATTAAATTGTGATAAATCATTTTCATCTTTCTTACTGTATATTTTGTTACACATCTTATCACCTTGAGGATCATTTGCTCTCGTTGAATCTGCAGAATGACTTTCTACTACGTCAGATATATCAGTGGAACATGTCTCATTCGTAAAACATACGTTCGAGTTCTCCTCAGAAACTACTTCAAATGTTTGTCTGTAGACATCTTTACCTAAAAACGTTAACTTAGTACTTATCATCAATATCATCATCATCATCATCATCATCGTCGTCGTCGTCGTCGTCGTCGTCGTCATCATCATCATCATCATCATCATCATAATCATTTATACGTTTTGACTTTTAATCCATTAAAGATTACTTGAAGGCAAAATGAAATGTATGTACATTATCCTTTACAGAATTCACAAAAAATGCTTTCAACATTAGCAATTAACAGTATAGTTGCCGCCAAGAATCGGTATGAAGCACAAAACCAACTTTAAAAGTAAAAAATGTAGGCGACAGACCTGTTTAACACACAGAGAAATAAACGAGTTACACTTTTGAAAACAAACCATTCAGACAAAGATAAAAATCATAACATACCTTCTATTGCTAAAACAGTTCTAAAACTTCCTGTAAGAAGTAAAAGCTCGATCTGAACTTTCTTCTCAGCGTCCACTTGAATTTCAAATGTTTCGTTGTTGAAGGTAGCCTTTACCTGATTCATTGAACATATTATTTTAAATAACATATCATTAACATATCATGAATTTTCTATATAGTCTTCATAGCGTTTAGTCTCTGAAAAAATGGCAATGCTAGTCGCATGTAATATACAAATCTTTGATATTGTTCTTTAATTGTTTTAAATTGTGATCATTAATGAAACTTAAAGTCCGCAACTCTTTAAATATATTTAAATCTATTTCAGACATCAAATACATATTTCTTTTAAGAAATGGTGAAACATTCAATTTAGTTCGACAGCAAAACTATGTGGAGTGGTTTATAATTCTTTTTAGTATGCATATTTTACGTATGCCCAAGTATGCTTTACATTTATGTACATTTTTTGATTTGTAATTACATATGTATATATCTGGATACCTTTTCACCGTTTTCTGTCAACTTTATGAATATCTGTACGGTCATTTGGTTTTTGATGTTTAGATAATAAAGAGGTATTGTAGTAAAAATGCCGTTTTGTACAGAAATCATACTGGTTCCAGTCCCGTTGACATTAATACATAAATCGTCACCTTCCTGCACTGTGCGCCGAAGTTTGGAACCATTCTCGAAAGAATGACTTTCAGGCGAGAAAGGAATTCTTGCTGATCTAAATGTTCCATCTTTCTCACTAGTGAGTGATAAACAATAAAATGTTCCTGATTCCATATCTTCTTTAATGCCAATTCTGTAAATTGTCATAAAAACTAATTGTTTTGCAATCGAAGAGTAAGAATTTCAAAACCTTAGAGTTATCTACTAAATAAAAACATTGCAATATTGTTACTATTTTTTATGTAAAGATGTCGATCTGATGCCAAGATAGAGATGAATTTCTTAAAATCAGAAAACATATCTATAAATTATAATTTTACAATTAATAACTTACTTTAAAGTCATTCTCAACTAACCGTTTTAACTACTTTGACCAAATGAAATTGACGGTTACCTAAGTAAGATAAAATGTGTTGCGTATGTTCATGTCTTTGGGCATCTTTTTCTTAATCGAAGGTTTTGGTGAAGGCTGGAGAAAATTCAATCAGAGACAGTTTGAATCTTACATAAATATGTTTTGCATGATTTTCAAGGCTTCCGTATACATGTATTGACTGAGTGAGTCATGCATGACAATACAATAGAATAAGAACTTAATACTTGGCATGGCGCCACATTTAAGCCCGATTGAACAAGTAGATAATTGATAACCCCAACCCAACACCCGATTTCTGCTCACTTCATGAAAATGGAGTAGGCTAGATGCTGACTTAAATTTAATCATGATTATAAAATGATAAGATCCTCGTCAGTTTTAGAGAATAGTGACCCCGAAACTATTGTGACAAATAAATCGAAAACCAAAGTAGTAAATACCAAATTCTACATAACTTTCATACTTTTTGTTGAATTACTGAATATAAATATATATAAATAATCATTATAAGAAATAGTTGGCATACATACATTTATAGTGATTAATAATAAACCCTTTTTAACCAAACAACTTTTCTTCCTTTTCGTTTACATTGAATTGTACATAATTTATATCCGGGTAGACTTAAAAATAATGACAGGTGATGATGACGTCAAAGATTTATTTACATAGTACTACAAATATGAAGGAATATTATACATTGTATATTTCATGTGTGTACATAGTTTAAAACAGCACAACTCTAGATTTGTAAATTTTTATAGAGTTTTTTTAATGTTCTATTTTCTACAGATATTGTCAATTGTGCTAATTAAATGTTTAAACCTAATATCCACAAAAAATATGGCACTAATGTGCAGAAATAACTTAACCCATTACGTTATATACACGCCTTTTAACGCCTTTTTCACCCCCCCCCCCTATGTTGTCTCAAATGGTGAAAAAATGCCTTATTTAGGCCCCCAACACTTGTTTTTGTTTGAGAAATGTTGTTAAAAAGTGACCTCTTTTCCGGCGCGGCCCCCAACCAAAAGCTACATCAGGGGGTTGCCAGAATGGGGATGTGCCCCTTCTGTATGGGGGTTTGAAGGGGGCGGAGTCCCCCTCATCGCCAAGAAAATTTTGGACTTATGAGAGGCTATAAATGACCCCAGATTGATCATAAGGTAACGTGTAACCAACGCTGAAAAGCATTTGACTCTTTCCCAATCTATTGAGAAGTTGCAGCACTTTGAAATCAATTTTGATGGAAAAAATCAACGCAAAATAGTGATTTTTGGCAATTTTGAGATGTCCCCTCGTTGCCATGGTAACAGAAAAATTAAGCCTGAGCATGTTGTTGCAAGGGCAATGGTCCAGTCAACATTTGTGCCAAGTTTGATTAGTGTTGAAGCAGCTTTTATAGAATTATATCAATTTGAACTTGTAACAGGAGACTTTTCAATGAAAACAGCCATTTTTCACAAAATGCTCATGAAGTAATGGGTTAATGAAAAAAATCAAAAAAATCTACAAAACAACAATTTTTCTTCAAATTGATATGACAGGCCATGTTTAAACATGAAAAAACGCGATTTAGGGTAATTTCAAGTATTTTCATCATTTTCTGTTAACCCATTGCGTTATATACACCGCTTTTAACGCATTTTTCACCCCCCCCCCCTTTATGTTGTCTAAAATGGTGAAAAAATGCCTTATTTAGGCCCCCAACACTTGTTTTTGTTTGAGAAATGTTTTTAAAAAAGTGACCTCCAGAAGGGGTATGTGCCCCCTTCTGTATGGGGGTTTGAAGGGGGGCGGAGTCCCCCTCATCGCCAAGAAAATGTTGGACTTGTGAGAGGCTATAAATGACCCCAGATTGATCATAAGGTAACGTGTAACCAACGCTGAAAAGCATTTGACTCTTTCTGAATCCATTGAGAAGTTGCAGCACTTTGAAATCAATTTTGATGGAAAAAATCAACGCAAAATAGTGATTTTTGGCAATTTTGAGATGTCCCCTCGTTGCCATGGTAACAGAAAATTTAAGCCTGAGCATGTTGTTGCAAGGGCAATGGTCCAGTCAACATTTGTGCCAAGTTTGATTAGTGTTGAAGCAGCTTTTATAGTATTATAGCAATTTGAGCTTGTAACAGGAGACTTTTCAATGAAAACAACCATTTTTCACAAAATGCTCATTAAGTAATGGGTTAATGAAAAAAATAAAAAAATCTACAAAACAACAATTGTTCTTCAAATTTATATGACAGGCCATGTTTAAACATGAAAAAACGCGATTTAGGGTAATTTCAAGTATTTTCATCATTTTCTGTTAAGAAGACAATGGGTACAAACTTTTTATTTGAAATTTAAGTAGCATTTGTATTAGATATTTTATTCGACATGCGCAGTTACATTTGTATTTTTTCTTTCAAATATATCAAATCTAGAGCGATGTCGGGTTTATTGTGACATCTAAGGCATATATGTTACTGTGATTTTAAATATGCTTTTTTCAGTATTGGCATTGGATACTTAGGATAAGCCCTGTATGACTATCTTCTATAATGGGCCACTATAATAAGCATATGCAAAACAAACGCGATATACCTTGTTAAACAGAAGAGCATGAGGAGGCAGTTTTGGGACACGTCGGGTATTTATGGACAGAAAGAAAGGCATTTTGGGACACATTAATTTTAGTGAAAAAATTTTGTACCAAAACATGGATCAGTAAATCTTGTTTTGCATAGTTCAATTTGATTGAAAATTTCTTTTAAATAACAAGTCTAAATCAAATATAATACTATTTTATGATGCTTTATAGATCTATAGAGTATGTGAGATCAAATGGTCTAATTTATCTGTTCATTTCGATTAAGTACTATAAGAGGGTTAATGCCCCTTTCTGTATGCATTAACATCTTCAGATGCATAAAGACGCAATCAAAATCTGAGACAGCACAGTGAGGGATTTAAAATATCTGAGGGCTTCTGCAGATGTTTATGCATTAAAAAAGGTGCATTAATTAGCACTAATCTTGGATAATAAACGTCAAATAGGCACTCCCTCGTTTCGTTGCCTTCATTCTGTACTATGATACCATAGATTGTACTATGCTTTAAACGTGCTGGTACGTGTATATTATATAGCACTTTTTATAAGAAAAGGAATGCTGCAGGAGTAGCATGTTTAAGTGTGATCTGCAAGATCATTGTCATCGCAATAAACTGATATGTCGAAATCTCTAAGGAGTCAGATTCCCATTTCAATTTTTTTTCCGCTTTAAGTTGTAGTCAATTTGTTTTATCCTCATTTTGTCTGCCCTTTCTATAATTTTGTTTTAAGCTGTTTTTTGTTTTGATTTTCAAAAACATATCTGACATACAAACACAACTTCAATGAGTTAAAGATATGTTTCTATAATATCTAATAACATAATAAACATTTGATATTTTCATGTGTCCCAAAACACCCTACATCAACAAAATGTTGTCCGGAGTTTTGGAACCACATTTTATAATGAATCAAGTAGTATCAACAACTAAAATATGCTCACATGTTGATCAGGGGATCTTTTTCATCCTTAATTTATAGTTTACTTCTACAGAATATATCATAGACAGGTTTTATGAATTTAAGTATTGGCTATTTTTTTAAGGTTATTATAAAACAGTGGCATGATTCTCCTAAATTTCACATCATTCAAAAATAATAATATTCACTTAAATGTACAGGCACTAGGTGGAAGCCAGCGGAAAAAAAGGACGATTGATTGTCATTTCTAATTGAAGAACTAAATGAAATTATACTTCTAAACGTTCTAATGAGGTGCGGTCCAAAATACCCGATGGTTCACATATACCCTACAACGCTCTATACTTTAATAGCATAGGATAATATATGGTGAATGACAAAGTAACTATTTTTTACATTTTACATTAAGAAAATTAACGGTATAATCCATATAAGAATAAAATGTATGTTGAAAACTGTGTCCATTTTTGGAAAGAAGGGGGGTAGAATAATTGAGGGGGGGGGGGCCTTTCAAAATAGGCTTATAAACATGGATATGACCAGTGGTAGCAAGAAATAAAAACATAATAATTATAAAACAAATTCTCATACAATATGTCTAAGAAACAATCTAGAGCAAATGATACACTGGTCTCATGTTAACTAAGAATAAATCAAGATCAAGATTAAATGATTCTGATTTAATTTTCATTGTATTATGAAACTAAAATTGATCAATTGATGCTGAACATGCAAAAACATAAACCGTATGTATTTAAGGATAACAGCAACAGATACCAAAACAAATATACAAAAATAATTGAATCAAAATAAGGATCAATTTTAGAGTCAGGAACCTTGTTTAGATCCAGCCAGCGAGCCAGCTATCCATCCATCCATCCATTAATCCTTACATACAAGTACAATGAGCAGACACTACGTAATGGTAGTGACGGAAGTGTTTGGGTTATTTTTGAACTGTATATAACTACACAGTAAGTAAAAGAAGAGAAACCGGTTTAATAGACAATAACAATGTTGTGGATTCTGTCGTTAGAGAACCTTCAAATGTTGTTGCTGAAAATTCAATTGATCCTTTTTTATCACACCAAGTAAGAACTGAATTGAAACGGGAAGTGAATGATTATTCTGAGGTTACGGGAGTGAAAACAGTTGATGAGAATACTACAGACGGACGACTGGCTGCCCTTGAATGCGAACATACCCTGCTTCATAAAAAGGTTGATAAACTAAACCATAAATTACAAAACGCTGTTACATGTAATACTCTCTCATTGCCGTCGTCATAAAGGAAAGGCGTTATGACAAGGCAGATATCTGCCCCAACAAGGATATGCTCAGTAGATGACAGACTGATTGATGTTTGTCGATCAAGGACATACATTGTGTTCCTTTGTCAGATAAATTGTTCGAAAGGGAGATAATTACAATAAATGAACACCAAGAAATAGCTACCGAGTCCACTCCAGATGCCGGTAATAGAAAGCTGCTTCTAATAATAAGAAAAAAGAGAGTTATGAAATCAAAAATGGATGAAATACTTGACGAAACTGAACAAAAACATCTGAAAGATTTGTTTTAGGTCATAGCTTTTATTACAAAGTCGTGGTCTAGTACATAGCTCCATCTGAAATTGTTAAAGTCTTCCCCGTTATTTTGTTTTTGTTTTTATTATTATTAAGAAACTGCTCATAAAGAGAATTGGTTATCTATTATGTGTTTACAATTTTCTTTCAAAGACTAGAATTCCCGTTCTTTTGGCTGGTGTAAGTAAAAGAATACAGCTTTGTGAAAATTAATGTTTTATTGACATTTAATAACCATGTATTTTCTATTTCTTTCACAGCTATCTAATATTTTGATTTGTATCTTGTCCATGTATCTATTCCGCAGCTATTTTATAACTGTTTCGTTATTGTTTGATAATTTCGCAACTGTGTTATCGATGTTGCACCAATATTTTGTAATGTTCAGTCGCCATTTTATATAATTATCATTTTCATCATAAATGTTCAGTAGTAATGCTGTATCTTTAGAACTGTACATAACTGTAAATAGCTATATATGAGCCGCGTCACGACAAATCCAACATAATGGGTTTGCGACCAGCATGGATCCAGACCAGCCTGCGCATCCGCGCAGTCTGGTCAGGATCCATGCTGTTCGCTTACAAACCCTATTACAAGTTGAGAAACTGACAGCGAACAGCATGGATCCTTATCAGATTGCGCGGATGCGCAGGCTGATCTGGATCCATGCTGGTCGCAAACCTCATTTATTATGTACATGTAATTGTATTATTACCTCATGTTGTCATGTTTGTATGATCTGAGTGAATAAATAAATGAATAGAACGCCTGTTTTCCGCGCTTCAATAAGACAGGTACAACATACTATTTTTAGTCAATACAATCAAAAGAAAATTTGTTTGTTTGTTTGTTTGTTTATTTGAAATACTAGTAAATATTGTTGTTGTTGTTGTTCAATATATATGGGAAAATATCCATTTTATTTACTCAAATAAAAGATATTATCGAACTTACACATTTGTTATAATGCAACTAGATTTGCATATTTTTGCTACATGTATTTGATATCTTTATAACAGCCATTTCATACCTCCTTAAGCAACCTTTGTGCAATTTTGCATAAAATAAATCTGTAATTTGTTACTATAATATTGAACGACATTAGCAATAGCTAATGGCTCATAAATAAATGGCAAAATGTTCTTTATTTTGTATGTACATATTTATCCCCTAACTTTTTTGAATACGTTAATATATCATGTAGCTCCTGATTACAAATAACTTAATGCTGTTAATTTTATACTTAAAGGCTTGGTATGCCACGGAAATGATTTATTCTTATTTCTCAAAAGTTTTGGTGCACTTCTATAGTTTCGAAGAAAAGTTACTCATTGGCCAGTTACCTGAAGCAAAATTTGTTGGAAATATAGTATAGTTATAGTGATTTAGTATTTTGTATGGATGTCAAAACATTTTGCTTTCTATATGACAAATAATTTCTCAATTTATCGCTACTTTCTTCAGGTTAAAAGAATCTAGCATATTATAATAACTCTAAAACCATTATTAATACGTTATAAAATTCATTTCCCTTTCTAAAAAAAAACAAAATGTATTTTTTTCTGGGGGCAAAATGAATTTTAACAAGGGCCTAGAATTTCTTTTTTGTAATTTTAAAATAATTATTTAAGATAGTTTTTGCTTTAAAATAATGATTGATTACTAAACCCTTACTAATTTAGATTATTAGTTTTTAAAAAAATGAAAAAATTCCTGATTGAGAATGAAACCAAAAGTTTATTTTTTTTTACAATTTTAAATGTTATGATTGTTTTTAAAAAAAGTTTTAAAAAAAAAATATTAACTTGTTCTTGTTATCTCTTAAAGACTTTTTTGGGGTTTCGCCCCTATGTACTGTGAAATATTTGTAAAAACTTGATGGGGTTTGTTTACTTAGGTAATTAAACGTAATAAAACTAGGTATATAATACAAACGAACAAATTTAGAGACATAAATATTTAATTTTTTTATTTTTTTTTTTAAATTGTTTGTACATCATATATTTAAAAAAAACAAAACGATAATTTAAAACTTAAAAAAATATTCTTTTGTTTTTGGGCATTGATTTTGTATATATAAAATATTTTTAAATATTGTCAAATACGTACACATTAAAAAATCTTTTAAAAACATAAAAAAATATAATGAAAAATTTGCAATAAAACACTTTAATTAAAAAAAAAACATTTTTTAAAAAAAAGTGGCTCTTTTAAAATTTTATTTGTCTGGAGCTATTTTTTTTTTAAAAATTACTTGTTAATAAAAAGGCAACTAAAATTAGGTTAAAACTGGCAGTTATTTTTAAACTGATAAATACGCCCAATTTTTTTAAGGGTAAATATTCATAAAAAATCAGTTGGAAGACAATTTTTACAATAGATAACAAGCAAATTTCAAAAAATTTTGCGTATCCTTTTTTAAGACAAAATTTCTTTATTAAAAAGGGAAAATTTTCGGCGAAAGTTTAAAAGTCCCAAATATCATTTTTTGTAAAAAAAATGATTATTATTTTTTTAAAAAAATTGCCCCCTTTACGTTACAACGAAAAATGAATATGAATTTAAAAAAAAAACTGTTCCGCAACTCTGATAAGACTTCTTTTTGTATTTTTTAAAGAATTTTAAAATTTTTTATCCATCGTATGTTTGATTTTAAAAGGGCGTCATTTGAGGAGGGATTTAAAAGTGATTGTATGGAAAAAAAGCCCCGAAAAAGGCTCCTTGAATTTATACACGTTTTTATTTCTTGCTTTTTAAGCTTTTCCCCAAATATTGAAAAAACAGAATTTGCAACCCAATATTGTCTTTCTCAATTTCGTTTTTCGTTTAAAATTGTCTTCATTATTAAAGAGTGCTCAAAAAAGTATTCGGCTAATTTATCAGAACGCATGGTTTTCAACAATTCAGTTCTGTTCCTGCGTATATCAACTGTTTCGTTGCTTAGCGCCTTTTGTTTTTTATTTCTCAATTCATGGTAGGGGTCCTGGCTAAATGATGACGGCTCTTTAAGTAAGGAATCGTCTTTATCTACATAAAATGCATGTGGGTTGATGTCACTGCTATCAAAAGATAAGTTGATTTCTTCATCTCGTTTTAATACTTCTGCCTCATCATTGCTTCCGAGTTCATCGCAAATTCCATTGCAATCAACACCCTTCTTTATATTAACGTCAGAAACGTTGTTAATCATATCTTCGATCTTAAAGTTGAAATTTTTGTCTACATTAAATGGTGATAAACTATTTTCATCTTTCTCACTGTTTATTTTGTTACACATGTTATCACCTTGAGGTTCATTTGCTCTCGTTGAATCTGCTGAATGACTTTCTTCTACGTCAGATATATCAGTTGAGCATGTCTCATTTGTAAAACATATGTTCCAGTTCTCCTTGGGAACTTCTTCAAATGTTTGTCTGTAAACATCTTTACCTAAAAAAGTTAACTTAGTTTACATCATCATCATCATCGACATCATCATCATCACAATCATCATCATTATCATCATCATAATCATCATCATCTTCATCATAATAATAATAATAATAATAATCATAATCATCAATGTTTTGATTGTAATCAATTAAAGACTTCTTATGCATGTACTTTATCCCTTAATAATGCACACAGAATGCTTTCAACATCAACAATTATTTGTGAATTTGCAGTATGAACCACATCAAACATGAAGGCGACTGATTTGTTTCACAGACAGAGAAATAAACGAGTTACATGTTTGAAAACCATCCAGACAAAGAAAAAAAATCATAACACACCTTCTATTGCTAAAACAGTTCTAAAACTCCCTGTAAGAAGTAAAAGCCCGATCTGAACTTTCTTCTCAGCGTCCACTTGACTTTCAAATGTTTCGTTGTTGAAGGTAGCCCTGACTTGATTCATTGAACATAATTATTCTAAATAACATATCATTAACATATCATGAATTGTCTATATAGTCTTCATAGCGTTTAGTCTCTGAAAAAATGGCAATGTAAGTCGCATGGTGTATACCCATTTTTGATATTGTTCTTTAATTGTTTTAAAATTGTGATCATTAATGAAATTTAAAGTCCGCAACTTTTTAAATCTATTTAAATCTATTTCAGACAACAAATAAGCATTTCTTTTAAGAAATGGTGAAATATTCAATTTGGTTCGACAGCACGCTATGTGGAGTGGTTTATAATTCTTTTTTGTATGCATACTTTACGTATGCCCAAGTATGCCTGACATTTATGTACATTTTTTATTTGTAATTACATATGCATATATCTGGATACCTTGTCACCGTTTTCTGTCAACTTTATGAATATCTGTACGGTCGATTTGTTTCTGATGTTCAGAAAATAAAGAGGTATTGTTGTAAAGTTGTCTTTTTGTACAAAATCATACTGGTTTCAGTTCCGTTGTCACAAATGTGTAAATCATCACCTTCCTTTAGTGTGCGCCTAAGTCTGGAACCATTCTCGAAAGAAAGACTTTCAGGCGAGATAGAAATACTTTCTGATCTAAACGTTCCATCTTCCTCACTAGTGAGTGACAAACAAGACAATGTTCCAGATTCCATATCTTCTTTAATGCCAATTCCGTAACTTGTCATAAAAACTAATTGTTTTGCAATCGAAGAGTAAGACTTTCAAAATCTAAGAATTATCTACTAAATAAAAACATTACAATATTGTTACTATTTTTAATGTAAAGATGTTGATCTGATGCTAAGATAGAAATGCCTTTCTTAAAATCAGAAGATATATTTATTAATTATTATTTCACAATTAATAACTTTCTGCAAAGTCATTCTCAACTAACCATTTTTATCTACTTTGACCAAATGAAAATGACGGTTACTTAAGTAAGATAAAATGTGTTGCTAATGTTCATGTCTTGGGGCATCTTTTTCTTAATCGGAGGTTTTGGTGAGGGCTGGAGAAAATTCGATCAGAGACAGTTTGAATCTTACATAAATATGTTTTGTATAATTTTCAAGGCTTCCGTATACATGTATTGACAGAGTGAGTCACGGATGATAATAACTTAATACTTGGCATGGCGCCACATTTAACACGATTGAAAAAAAGATAATTGATAACCCCGCCCAACACCCGATTTCTGCCCACTTAATGAAAATGGAGTAAGTTAGATGTTGACTCATATTTAATAATGATAATAAAATGATAAGATCCCCGAAACTATTGTTACAAATAAATCGAAAACGAAAGTAGTAAATACTAAATAAATTCTACACAATTTTCATACTTTTGTTGAATTACTCAAATATATATATGAATAGTCATAATAGGAAATAGTTGGCATACATACATTTATAGTGGTTAAAAATAAAAGTATTTTCTAAACAAAATTTCTTCCTTTTCGTGCACATAATCTTTATCCGGGTAGACTTAAAAATAAAGACAAGTTATGATTACGTCAAATATTTATTTATATAGTACAAAAACAACTGCTTATAAATATGAAAGAATAAATACATTGTATAAATATGTGTGTACAATGTTTAAAGCAGCACACCTCAGGATTCGTACATTTTTATGGTTTCTTTTTTTTTTAAATGAGAAATAAGTTTTAGAGATGTTGTCAAGTCTGCTAATAAAGTGTTTAAACGTAACATCCATAAAAACATGGTGCAAATGTGCAGAAAAAAATCTTAGAAGACAATGGGTACAAACTATTTATTGGAAATTTAAGTAGCATTTGTATTAAATAATAAAAAATTGCGCGGTTACATTCGTATTTTTTTTCTTTCAAATATATCAAATCTATACTATTTTTTACATTTTACATTAAAAACATTATGTGTACAATCCATATAAGAATAAAATGTATGTTGAAAACGGTGTCCAGTTTGGAAACAAGGAGGGGGTAGAATAATGGGGGACTTTCAAAATAGGCTTATATATATATGTACATGACCAGTGGTAGCAAGAATAAAACATATTAATTATATAACAAATTCTCATACAATATGTTTAAGAAACAATCTAGAGCAACTGATCCCTTGTCTCATGTTAACTACGAAAAAATCAAGATTAAATGATTCTGATTTAATTTTTATTGTATTATGAAACTAAAATTGATAAATTGATGCTGATTTGCAAAAACATAAGCCGTATTGTAGGATGACATCAACATATACCAAAACAAATATACAAAAATAATTGAATCAAAATAAGGATCAATTTTAGAATCAGGAACCTTGTTTAGATTCCAGCCAGCCAGCCAGCAAGCCATCCATCCATCCTTACATACATATGGAAAACATATGTAAGAATATCAAATACACATATACACATCTAATGCGATTTTAGAAATTGAAAAGATAATATCAAGTTACGTTAGGATAATATTATAATACCATGATGACATGGCTCCCAATGAAATAGTTTAACTGTTTGTATATCATAAACCGATCTGTTTATGTGTTTTAAGCGTATTTGTGTACGAATGCTAAAATCTTTAAAAAGAAAAGGTAATTTCCATGAACATTAGCAATTCGTGGAACAAAAAGAGGTATAACTTATGTAATTTATAGCTTTAATAGTATTCCGTATAAATAAAAATGTTGATTGTATGTATTTAGTATTCAAATTACGTGTCAGAAACATTCAAGATTTTCTAAATAGAATCTATCAATTGCGACTTCCTGGTTTTATTTTTCGACGACATTGCAGTCGTAATAAAAGATAATCGTTTTTGTGTAAATTTTCTTTGATTAAAGCATCAGCTCAACGCATGGACAGAATATCACACTGACCAACTCTTCATCAACTGCAACATGATCTCCTAAACAAATTAGCGAATTGGCGTCTTCATCGAGTCCGCTGGAACAAGGACAGACCGTGGTTGTAGAACTGGACGGAAGCGGTCAATGTGAATTGGGACTTTTCAAAGAAGATCCTGAAGCGACAATTCGGACAAAGCAGACGTTCAAACAGATAAATGAAATACGTATACATAAACGAAAATGTGTGATTCCTGAAACACGGAATGATAGCGACACTAAGGTAATACATGCAATATCTTGTCAAAACTGTTGTCAGGGGAGTGGTGGCCTAGTGGTCAACGTGTCTATCTAAACCCAGGGATCAAGGGTTCGAACCCCTACAAGGGTCTCCACCATTTCATATGACACCAGTACTGGTTGGTTCCAGGAAACGGACTCGAAATTAATCATAATAAGTTGCAATAACTTGCTTCTCAATCGACCTTAGATAGATACTTGAAACTTTTCATAATTTAAGAATCTTAATTGTTTAGTTTAACAGGCATGACAACAAATTTGAATAAAACATGTTTGAATGAGTATATTGTTAACAATATCATTAAATCACAGAAAAGGCATTATCCGTTCAGAACTTTTTTATAAAACCAGATCAGCTCTGAGTTCTTGGGAAAAGATTTACAAAAGCTTTTGACCGGAACACCAAGTTATGGCTGACGATTTTTGTAAAGTTTGGAAAAGTTTCTGCAAAATTGCTGTTGAACGGTACACCCTTTGATTTATTCTGATATGTATATTTGATATTATAATCAGATTTAAATATTATATTAACTTTTTATTTGATCATCATAATAATCATCATCATCATCATCATCATCATCAATGGTTTAATTGTTAATTATTAAAGACTTCTTGCAGGTAAAATGAGATGCATGTACATTATCCTTTACAGAATTCAAAATGCAGGCGACAGACCTGTTTCACAGACAGAGAAATAAACGAGTTACATATTTGAAAACCATTAAAACAAAGAAAAAATCCTAACACACCTTCTATTGCTAAAACAGTTCTAAAACTTCCTGTCAAAAGTAAAAGCTCGATCTGAACTTTCTCCTCTTTGTCCACTTGAATTTCAAATGTTTTGTTGTTGAAAGAGGCTTAATCTTAATCTAATTCTTTATAGCTTTTAGTCTCGCAAAAAGGGTAATGCATTTGTATACTCATCTCTTATATTGTTCTTTTAAACTTTTGTTAAAACTCAAAACAAGTTGTGATCTTCAAGTTTCATTTTTAAACTTTTTAAATGTATTTCAGTCTATTAAAGGCATCAGAAAAAGTATTTCTATTAACAAATTATGAATAATTCAATTTGGCTCGGTGCAGTGGTTCATACTTTCATTTTTTGTATGCACAAGTATGACTTACATTTATGGACATTTTTTTTTATTTGTAATTACTTATGTGTATATCTGGATACTTTGTCACCGTTTTCTGTCAACTTTATAACTATCTGTACGGTCGATTTGTTTCTGATGTTTAGAACATAACGAGGTATTGCAGTAAAGTTGCTGTTTTGTACAGAAATCATACTGGTTCGAGTTCCATTGACATAAAGCTATCCTGCAGTGTGCGCCGAAGCTTGAAACCATTCTCAAAAGAAAGAATATCAGGCGATATAGAAATTCTTTCTGGTGTAAGCGTTCCACTTTCCTTACAAGTAAGAGATAAACAAGAAACTGTTCCCGTTTCCATATGTACTTTAACGCAAACTCTGTTAATTGTCATAGAATCTAATTGCAATGAAAATTCAAATTCTTAGAATCATTTATTCTTATAAGATTGTAACAATTCTTATGGTAAGCTGTTGATCTGATGCCAAGATATAGTGAATTTCTTTAAGATCTAGATAATAATAAGTTCACATTACGATTGTTTGTTAATATCTTATTGTAAAGCCATTACTAACCATTTTAGTTTCTTTGACCAAATGAAATTGAAGTTTAATCGTTAATGTTCATGTCTTTTGGCATCTGAAATTTTTTATACGGACATATTTGTGAAGGCGAGAGAAAAAATTCGATCAAAGACAATGAGATTCAAGGCTTAAGTTTACGTGCATTTGACTGAGTGAATCACGCATGCCAATACGACGGTACTTGGCAATGCGTCACATTTATTCAAGCACGATGAGAAAAAAACTGAACTCACAGTCCCACCACAACATCCGAGTTTTGCTCACTTTCTGAAAATAGAGCAGACTGGCTGTTGATTTACATTTAATCATGACGATAAAATAATCTATGTAGATAATATTGCCCCCGAAACAATTGTTTCAAATAAATCGAAAACGAAATAGTAAAAACCAAATTCTATATATCACATTTTTCGTTGTATTACTCACATATATATGAATAATCATAATAGGAAATAGTTGGCACACATATATCCATAGTAATTAGTGATAAAAACATTTTCCAAATAACATTTTGCCTTTTCGTTTTTTTGATTTTAGTTCTTTTTTTTGTTTTTGTTTTTTTTACATAATTTATCTACGGGTAGACATAAAATAAAGACAAATTATGATTACATCAAAAGATTTATTTGTAAAGTACAAAAACTACTGCATAGAAATGTGAAGGAATAATATACATTGTATCTTTGATGTGTGTACATAGTTTAAAGCAGCACACCCCTGGATTTGTACATTTTTATGGACTTTTTTCTTTGAAAATGAGTTATTATTTTTGGAGATGTTGTCAAGTGTGCTAATCTAGTGTTTAAACCTAATATACACAAAAAACATTTTATAAATGTGCAGAAAATTTTTCGAAGACAATGGGTACACACTGTTTATTGTAAATTAAAATAACATTAGTTAGTACATATAAGATCATTTATTCAGACATGCGCAGTTACATTCGTATTTTTTCTTTCAAAAATACCAAATAGAAAACTTTAATAGCAAAGGAGAATATATTGTGACTTACTAAGTAACTGAAAAATCTTATTATAAAAAACATTAAGTGTATAATCCATACGTAGAATAAAATATATGTTAAAAACTGTATCCATTTTTGAAAAAAAAGGATTTTTAAAAAAATGAGAAAAAAGAGAAAACTTTCAAAATAGGCTTATATGCATGGACATGACCAGTGTTAGCAAGAAATAAAAATATAAAGATTACATAAAACAATAACAAATTCTCACCACATATGTCTAAGAAACAATCTAGAGCATCTGATACCCTGGTCCCGTGTTCATTATCAAAATTAAATGATCCTGATTTAATTTTCATTGTATTATGAAACTAGAATTGATAAATTGATGCTGATTTGTAGAAAAAAAACATATTGTAGAATAACATACACATTATACTAAAACAAAAATACAGTTATAATTTAATCAAAATAAAGTATACATAACATATGTAAGAGTTTCAAATTTCAAGTACACACTCTATACATTTAATACAATTTTAGACTCTATCAGGTTACATTATGAGGATATAATGATACTACAATGTCATGGCTCCCGATGAAAAACTTAAAATACTTGCACCATAAACTGATCTCTATATGTGTCATCAGCGTTTCCACGAACTTTAGGAATTCGTGGAACAGAAATAGGGATTACTAATTTAATTCATCTAACGTATGTTTACGCATTCTTATTTACTTCCCTTTAGTCGAATATGATCTTAGAGAGAGAAAAGAAACTAAATATGCCGAATCTTTCTGTATAAATATAGTTAGTTACATATAACACTAGATTTTTTTAGATAAAAGTAATTAAGATTAGCCGGATCTGTAGTCTCCGCCGATACTTTCGTGGACTTGAACTCAAACAGAGCATGATCTGGCTCCTAGAAGCTAAAGTACGAGTACGGTCTTTCTGCGATAACACGCGCCCTGCACTCCTGACCTTCGACCTCAATGGTGGTCTGTGTCAAGGGTACCCACGTCTTCACGATGAGCCCTATATACAAGTGGCAAAGGCCACAATTCCCACTATTTTAATATCTATACACGTATGTAGATGTTGTACATACATTTAATTGTTTGAAAAATAAGTAGAAGAAATAATCTTTACTATTCTACTCACCCTTGTACATTGGTTTACAGGAAGTGTACAAATTAAAGCATTGCTTTGTAGAATAATATATTATGTTAACATAAACTTGTTAATCAAGACTGTTTCACGGTGCTACATCGTGAAAAAATGATAACTATCATATCATATCGGCATTTGAAGTGTAAACTATGTTATAATCAATATTTGGATCAACTGTAAAATGTCCATATTTTGTTTATTATCTAGAATTTCAAAAACATGGTTCTATATTTTTATCAAGTATATATTTAATATTAAATCTATGAAGATAAACAATGGAGAATATTTGAGTTTTTAAAATTGATCCCGATCTTGATCCTGAGTGAACACATATGGGAGCTGAAATTGCATACATTATATGAAGTATGCAAATCTCTAGCTAACAGTAATGTTGTAATTTCTATGTTTTTACGCATTATATATGTACATACCAAAATGCCCATTATGCATCACTCATTCCTCAAAAGCATTTTTTGGGCGTATTTATATAGTTTTCAAAAACTTACTCATAGGCCAATTGTTTTAATCATCATTTTTATCTGTTGCTTTTTAACAATTATTCATACAGTAAAAGTGATTTAATATTTTGAGTGCAAGTCAATTTTGAACTGCATGTTGCTAAAGTTTTTGACAAAATATTACACATTTATCTCTAAATTGTTCAGGTTACAAGCATCTTACATAACCTAAAACAATTATTTAAATTTATAAAATTCATATTTGTCCTTTCTAAAGAAGTAAAACTTTCTTCGTATCTGAAACAAAATGTACCTTTAACATGTTGTCAGATATGCATACCCCACAATGTCACCACTTTTAATGATGTAGTTTTGTTCACATTCGAAAATATAATAAGATAGAGAATTGATGAAAAATGAATAACAACTTGTTTAAGATCCTTTTAAACATATGTCAGATCTTTTTACAATGCAATTTATAAATTTTAAAACGAATCTCACACGTAAAAATTAATTCAAATCTTAAAGCAGCATATCTTCAGATTCATGCTAACTTTCATGAAATTTTTTAAAATGTGTTTAAAAGCAAAATATTGTTAAGTGAACAAAGATAGTTTTATACATTGCAAACGGCGCTTACAATCCATGTAAATTACCAAAAGAGGTCAAAATAGGCAAAAAATGATCTTACTGCGTTAGTAACACAGTAGAGATAGGGTGATACATATTACAAAATCATACATTAATCGCACATAACATGTAAAACAATATTACTTGAATCTTAAAACTTAAATAGTCTTTTTTTTTAAAATCTTAGTACATATTTCTCAAGTTTGATTTTCTTGAAATATGTTGGAATATTAATATTATATTAAAATGATTATATATGTAAACGCGGGTAAATATTGAACTGTGCATGTTTTAATTTACCCATGAATAATTGTTTCAGAGTTTATAGTTGTTTAAATATAACATTATTCCAAGTCGATTATATCAAATGTATACGTATTTAATACTAAATCGTGCATAGCTAATCTATATACATAATTTATAAATCAGAACATAATATACAATGTACAAAATATGTAAATACATTAAGTAAAACTATCATATCTGTGTCAAGCTATTCAAAGTTTGAAATGACTCATTCGAATATGTTTTAATGTTTATTTAACATGTATATATTCAACTATATTTATTCATGTATATAATACATACATATACTTTAACAATAAATAGCGCATGTTTTACGCGTGTCAAATTACTCTAAAGTTAAAAATAATTTGGGACGAATATTATCTTAGGTTGATTATTCATGTATATAATACATACACATGCTTAAACAATAAATGTCGCATATTTTATGCGTGTCAAATTAATCTAAAGTTAAAAATGATTTAGGACGAATGTTATATAAGGTTGATTATACATGTATATAATACATACATATACTTAAACAATAAATAGCGCATATTTCACTCGTGTCAAATTATTCAAAGTTAAAAATATTTTGGAACGAATATTATCTTAGGTTGATCATACATGTATATAATACATACATATACTTAAACAATAAGTAGCGCATATTTTCCTAATTATCAATTATTGAAAGTTAACAATAATTTGGCACGAATATTATCTTAGGTTGATTATACATGTATATATATATATTTTATTTTATTTGAGTCTCATCCATATTTAACAATTATAAGAGACATATAAAATTACAATTACAATATGGTCATTCTAAAAAGAATTATCTGATATACTATATGTTTACATATATGTTTACATATACAGTAAAGTTCCACCAAAAAGACCACACAAAATGATGGCCCCAACAGCGGAAAGGTCCCATCAGCGAGCCACTTCAGCTCCATAACTTAAACTCTGGTTCTTTATATTGCCGAAATTTGCATGATTTTGAAACATTCAAGGTGGTCTTATTAGTGGAACTCCACTGCATATACAATTAATGAACAATATACATGAATATACGCTAAGCAGTAAGCAGCATTTATAGAACACCGAAGTGTTAACCTTATGATGACACTTCGTTGCTCCACCCACACTATGACTGCACATAAACCAGACATCAATATTTTCCATATAGTTAGGCAGTTAAAAATTAATAGGACACAGTTGCTAATCCAAACATAAAATTTATCTAAAATTTATCTAAAAACAAGCTGACATGTAAAACACTTAAAATTCTGTCGTAAGTAATGATCAGCCCTCTAAAACCAAACTTCCTTACTTTAATAAGATTAGAAATGAGAACTAGATTAGCAACCATGTCTTATCATGTGATAAAAAAAAACCTAACTATTATTAAGAAAATCCTACCCATGTATAAAATTAATTTATTTCGACATTTTACTACCATATATCTGGAGACACCGCAAGTCTGAAGATATATACAAGTATTGTCAAAGCAAATATTATCTTATATTTTATATACAATACTTATTTTATAATGTTTAAAATCATCTACTGAGTCTCAAGTGTTGTGATACATATATCTATTTCGAATGTTAAGAATTTGATAACAGGATTTTGCCGCACACTTAAGAATATTTGGATTGGAGAGTATAAAGTATAACTGTTCATCATCACTTAAGTTTTCAAACCCACTATCTATTTCTATAGCTTTTACAAACAGGTCGAACCTAATGTCAGAATAAACATTGCAGTACAACAACACATGTTTTTAATTTTCTACCCCTAAATGGCATAAAGGACAATTTCTATCATTTACTGCCAGACGCTCATATCTACCAGTCTCTAGCCTAATTGGGGCTACTCCACAGCGAAATTTAGCATATGCAGATCTATGTTTGCTATGCAGTATAGTTTTGACATATTCTTCTGTCTCATAGCTAAACTTGAAGTTTCTATATGTTCTTAGTTTATTAAGACCACAATTGCTAGAACTATATATCAGGTGAAGTGATTCAATCTATTTGTCTAGATATTCACTGAAAACATTGTCTACAACTGTTCCTAACAATTTTTTCTTGTGTAAATGTACATGTTCAATAGCAATATAATCACCACAGTTGTACCTTATCAAAATATCTTGTACTCTATAATTCCAGTTTTTACAGTTGGTACCAGACACATATTTACAATGTTTAAAGATCGTTTTATTCAGACGTGAATCTGGCATATTGGAAAATCTACATAAAACATTAATTACACATTTTACCTGCTTAGCAAACACTGGTTCCCAGCCCATGTCACCAGCAACAGCAGAGTTGGGGGGTATATCTACCTGTACCCAAAAAGAACCTCATAGCTCTGTTTTGGACGGCATCAATACATGCAAACTGTTTTGTTCCCCAAATGGAAGCCCCATATGCTACTACCGGCCAAACTAGCGAGTCGTACAACTTTTTAAAAACATGGTAGGGCATGCCACCCATATGTTTGAATTTAACAATTAAAAGGCCCAAGGCTCTACCTGCTGCTTGTGACACAAACTTTGCTGTTACATTTTAATCTAAGAACTCATTCAATACAAGACCTAAATAAGTATATTTGTCTGTATAGTCTAACACATTGCCATTACATTTAAATACATACTCAAATATAGACATAGATGATGTTCTAAAGTGTATAACATTACTTTTAGACATATTAATAGACATATTGTTAATATCACACAAATGACACAAGGTATTCAACATAATCTGCAAATCATTTTCATATTTTGCTAGTAGAACAATGTCATCTGCATATAATAAGATAGATACCTTAGTACCATCATTTAATTCTAAGCCCAAATCTAACGAGTTTATAGTTAAGGCAAGGTCATTTATAAAGCAATTAAAAAGGACAGGTGACAAAATGCATCCTTGTCTCAAACCAATCTTAACATCAAACCATTCTGTTTTATAGCCATTAATTTTAACACATGAACTTACATTAGCATACAAAGATTAAATGGCTTTTAACATTCTATTATTAACACCCATGTTAGCAATACGGTTCCACAAAACAGAGCGGTCTACAGTATCATATGCCTTTTGAAGTCAATGAAGGCCGCAAAAGTAGCAGTTTTTCTCTTTAGTCGTGACTCAATAAGTGTTGTTAGGCTATGTAAATGATCTGTAGTACTTCTCTTTTTTTCTGAAACCGTTTTGCCCTTCTGCAAGTAATTCATTATCTTCAAGCCGTTTTGCAAGTCTATCATTGAGAACTGAACAATATAACGTGTACATAGTTGGGGCCAAGGTAATACCCCTGTAATTCGATGGATCCCTTGGATCTTTAGTATTTGATTTCGGAATGGGCGTAATAATACCTTTACCCCAGTCACAAGGGACATAACCAGTTTCAAAACATACATTAAAAAGCTTATGTAAAACTAAAAGTGCAGTATCATTTCTAAAAATTTCACATGGCAGGTCGTCAACACCACTTGCTTTATTTCTACCTGATTTTAATATTGCACCACGAACTTCAAAAATAGAAATATTCCTGTTTAATGCAGATGCCTCAGGCTCAGACAATACAGAAGTACTAGTACCATTATTTGCTGTAGTTGTTACATCATTATATAAAATTTCAAATCTATTTTTCCATGTATAAAGTACATAACCAATATTTGTATTTACAGACCCTTGCTCATCTAATACTTCTAGGGGTATTGGCTTTGATTTAGCACTAGACACACCAGGCTTTCCTATTGTTTTCCAAAATTTATTCTGGTCTTGCTCTACATAACAAAGCATATCTTCTTGCATTTTGTACCAAAACTGTCTCTTTGCTCTTTGCACAGCCCTATTATATTTTTAGCGACAAGAATTATAGTGCATTCTTAATTGTTTTTTAATGTTTGTAACAGTACAGTTTACCCACTTTTTCCTCAGCTGCATATACAATATTCCACAAGTATGTTAGATCTTCACACCACCAAGGTTTCTTAACCCGTCTGTGTTTATTTAAGCAACCAAAATGTACAGTTTTACTAGGTATTTTATCTAACATCTCATTTTTAATAGTTTTACATAATGAGATATAAGCATCATCTACACATTCCTGTGTTCTTACACATTGCTCTAACTGATCAACTAAGCTCATTATATACCTCATTCTCAGACAGAAAGTTTTCTGGGATTCTATTAGTAAGATACTTTGTTTGCTCATGAGACTGTTGGTTATTTACAGGTTCAAACCCCTTGTCAAACTCATAGCATATATTCCATAAAAGAAGGCAGTGATCCGGTATACCTACTGGGTGTGGAAATTGTACATTTGAAACAAGACTTGATGATCGTATAACTTCAAACTCATTAAACATGAATAAAAGTCATCATGACTTACTAAACAATAATCTACTACAGAACAGCCCTGTGGGCGAATGCACGTGTAATCATTTGTTTTATAATTTCTGCATACAAGTTCATACAAGCTCTGATACAGAGCTTCTTATTAAATTTTCAATGAATTGATCGCTTGTACTCCATCAGTATGTTTGATTTAAAGGTCGTCAGTTTGAGTGGAAGCACTTTCAAACTGTGATTGTATCGGAAACAAAAGGCCCAGCAAATGAGGCTCCTCTGCAATTGATAACACAACTTCTATTTTTTGCTTTGTAATGCGTCTGTTCCGAAGTATTCGAAGAAAATACGAATTTGCACCCCAGATATTGTCTTTCTTCACATATTCGCTTATTTCGTCCAAGTTGTCTTCACTTATTAACGAGTGCTCAAAAAAGTATTCGGCTAATTTATCAGAACGCATGGTCTTCAACAATTCAGTTCTGTTCCTGCGTATATCAACTGTTTCGTTGCTTAGCGCCTTTTGTTTTTTATTTCTCACTTTATGGTAGGGGTCCTGGCTAAATGATGACGGCTCTGTAAGTAAGGAATCGTCTTTATCATCTACAGAAAATGCATTTGCGTTGCTATCACTGCTATCAAAAGATAAGTTGATTTCTTTATCTGGTTCTAATACTTCTGTCTCATCATTGCTTCCGGGTTCATCGCAAATTCCATTGTAATCAACACCCTTATTTATATAAACGTCAGATACGTTGTTAATCATACCGGTATCTTTGATCTTAAAGTTGAAAATTTTGTCTTCATTATATAATGATAAACTATTTTCATCTTTCTCAGTGTACATTTTGTTACACATATTATCACATTGAGGATCATTTGCTCTCGTTGAATCTGCAGAATGACTTTCTACTACGTCAGCACCGGTGACGTCAGATATATCAGTTGAGCATGTCTCATTTGTAAAACATACGTTCGAGTTCTCCTCGAGAACTTCTTCAAATGTTTGTCTGTAAACATCTTTACCTAAAATATTTAACTTAGTTTACATCATCATCAACAACATCATAATCATCATCACAATAATTCATCATCATCATCATCATCATTATCATCAACATAATTATCATCATCATCATTATCATAATAGTCACCATCATCAGCAATGTTTTGATCTAATCAATTAAAGACTTCTTATGCATTTACTTTATCCTTTACATAATGCACACATAATGCTTTCAATATCAACAATTAATTGTGAATTTGCACTATGAACCACATGTTACACACATAGAGAAATAAACGCGTTACATGTTTGAAAACCATCCAGACAAAGAAAATAATCATAACATACCTCCTATTGCTAAAACAGTTCTAAAACTTCCTGTAACAAGTAAAAGCTCGATATGAACATTCTTCTCAGCGTCCTCTTGAATTTCAAATGTTTCGTTGTTGAAGGTACCCTTTACCTGATTCATTGAACATAATTATTTTAAATAACATATCATTAACATTTCATGAATTTTCTATATAGTTTTCATAGCGTTTAGTCTTTGAAAAAATGGCAATGTTAGTCGCATGGTGTATACTCATCTTTGATATTGTTCTTTAATTGTTTTAAAATTGTGATCATTTATGAAACTTAAAGTCGGAACTTTTTAAAACTATTTAAATCTATTTCAGACAACAAATAAGCATTTCTTTTAAGAAATGGTGAAATATTCAATTTGGTTCGACAGCACGCTATGTGGAGTGGTTTATAATTCTTTTTTGTATGCATACTTTACGTATGCCCAAGTATGCCTGACATTTATGTACATTTTTTATTTGTAATTACATATGCATATATATCTGGATACCTTGTCACCGATTTCTGTCAACTTTATGGATATCTGTACGGTCGATTTGTTTCGGATGTTCAGAAAAAAAAGGGATTGTAAAAAGGGGCCCTTTTTGTCCCAGAAATCATTTTTCGGTCCCAAAATAAAACTTTTGGTTTTTTTAAATCCCATTTGGGTTGCGAAAAGTTTGGGAACCTTTTTTGAAAAAAAATAAACGAAAAAAGGGAAATTTTTTGAAATTTTAAGTCCCCTCTTCATGGTAACAAAAAAACCGAGAATGTTTTTCTTTTAAGGGGCCAATTGGTAAATTTTGTCAAAAATTTTAATTGTTTTGAATCGAAGTTTTAAGAATTTTTAAATTTTAAAGGAGTTTTCAATAAAAACAAGGAATTTTTAAAAAATTTTATGAAAGAATGGTTTAAGAAAAAATAAAAAAACAAAACCACTTTTTTCTAAATTAATTTAAATTTTTAAACAAAAAAAAAATTTAGGGTAAAATTTTTTTAAACATTTTTTTAAAGGGTTTCTTATTTCGCCCTTTAACCCTTTTTTACCCCCCCCTTTTAATTTTTGATAAAAGGGAAAAAAAAATGTTTTGGGGGCCCCAAATTTTTTTTTTGAGGTTTTTAAAAAAAATTTTGAAACTCCAAAATATTTTTAAAAATTTTTAAGGGCTTTTAAGGGGGGGAGTCCCCTATAAAGATAATTTGGCCTTGGCGACATTTAAACCCCGATTAAACAAAAGTAATTGTAACACCCCCAAACCTTTTTGCCCTTTTTCTAAAATCCATTAAAAGTTGAACTTTAAATAATTTTGATAAAAATAAAAAGAAAAAGGATTTTTGGAAATTTTAGAGTTTTTGCTGGCCGAAAATTTTTTTAAAAATTTTAAAAAAGGGGGGGAAGTCAGTAAAAAATTTTAAATTTAAAAATTTATTTCATACTTTGGTTTTCGGAATTTTAAAATAAAAAAAATTTTCAAAAATTTCTTTAATAATTTTAAAAGGGGAAAAAAAAAAAAAAATTTTTCCAAAAAAAAATTTTTTTTTTTTAACAAATTTATATGGGTAGTTTAAAATAAAAAACCCAATTTTGGGGTAATTTAATTTTTCCAAAATTTTGTTTAAAAGACAAATTCATAAAAATTTGGGGGAAATTTTAAAAACTTTTGTTTTGTTAAATTTTTTGTGGGTTAAAATTTTTTTTTTTAAAACAAACAACCTTGGGATTGTAACTTTTTCCTATATTTTTTTTTTAAAATTGCTTTTTCAGTTTTGGAATTTGGGAACTTGGTCCCTTAAAGGGAAATTTTTTAAACTAAAATCCACAAAAAAGGGGAAACGTTTAACAAAGGCAAAAAACTTTTGGAAAAGGTCCTATTTTTTGGGAAAAAATGGCTTTTGGGGAAATTTTTTTTGGGAAAAATTTTTGAAAAAGGGGAAAAAAAATTTCGTTGTTTTCTTTCAATTTAATTTGAAAATTTTTTTAAAAACGGGAAATTTTATAAAAATAAAAAAAATTTTTTATAATTTAAAATTAATTAAAAGGTTTTTTAACCCTTTCACGAAGAAAAAAGGGTTTTAAAAGCCCGTTTCTTATGGAAAAAAGGGGGAAAAGAAAAAAATTCAAATCGGCAACAGGGGGGAAAATACCGGGGGGTTTGCAAGAAATTTTAAAAACTTTATTAAAAATTTATAAAAACCCCAAAATAGGGAAAAAACTCCCCGTTCCCTATTCGTTACTAAAAAAAATTTTTAATCAAAAAACGTCGGGACTTATAATTCATTTTTAAAAAGAAAAAAATTGAAAATTTTTAATGTGATTTGCAAAAAAACCAAAAACCCCTTATGTGAATTTTAAATCAAACATTAAAACTTTTTTTTCCCTTTAATTGTATAAAATTTTTTTTCCCCGGTTTTTTTAATATTTTTTTTAATTTTTTTTTTTAAATTTAAAAAGAAGCAAAAAATAAAATTAATGATTTAAAGATAGGGGTTTGTTAATAAAATTAAAAATTAAAACCAAATTTTTTATGTTTCCCAAAAATTAAAAATTTGGGATTTAAACGCCATTTTATAATGAATAATTGTTCAAAATTTAAAATAATTTACAGACGGGGACCCCTTTTTCATCATTTATGACCCAAACGGGAAATTCAATAGCCCCGGTTTTAGAAATATTTATTTTTTATTTTTAAAAAAAGGGGCGCCCAAAAAACTTAAAAGTTTAATTTAAATTTGGCAATATAAGCACAAAAAAACAAATTTTTTCCCGTTTTTTAAGTAACAAAATTAATTTTTTCAAACTTTTTTAAAGGGGTGCCCCCAAAACCCCGATGGTTAAATTTTAAAGGTTTTTATATTTTAGCTGGAAAATTTTTAATAAAAAATTTAGTTTTTTTCATTTTCACCAAGAAAATTAAGGTTTTCAAAAAATAAAAATGGGGAAATTTTTTTTTGGAAAGAAAATAATTACCTTTTAAAAAACTAAAAAAATGGTTAATCCAAATTTTACGTTTTAAAAATTATAAAAAAATTTAAAAATAGGTTAAAAAAACTTTCGGAAAATTTCAGTGGCCATTTCTAAAAAATTAACCAAGTCGGTTTTACCCCATTTTTTTAATTGAAAAAACCGGAAGGGCCTAAGAAAAAATTTTAAATTTTTGTTTGATCGGCCTTTTTCCCGGGAACCTTCCCCAAAAAAAATTTTGGAAACAAAAAAAGGGATATTTTAAAAAAGGGGAAATTTTTTTTAAATACCAAGCGAAAGAACCATTTTTTAATCCCTTCAAAAGTAAAAAATTTGACAGAAAAAGAAAATGGTAGTGACGGAAGTGTTTGGTTTTTTTTGAACGAAAAGGGAACTTAACAGAAAAAGAAAAGAAGAAAACCGGTTTATAAAATAAAAAGGGGGGGGGTTCTGCCGTTAAAAACCCCTTCAAAGTTTTGCTGAAAAATTAAATTTGTTTCCTTTTTTACCCACCAAAAAACTGAATTGAAAGGGAAGGGGAATTATTTTTTCTGAGGTTACGGGGGGAAAAAACTTTTAATGAAAATACAAAAGACAAAACAATTTCCTGCCCTTGTTTCCCGAAAACCCCCTGCTTAAAAAAAAAGGGTTTAATAAATAACAAATTAAAACGTTTGTTCGGAAATTTACCTCTCTTTTGGTGCCCAAAAAAGGGAAAGGCTTTAAATGCCCAAGGAATTTATTGCCCAAAACGGGAATTGTCATTAGATGAAAAGACGGGTTTTGGATGTTTTTTCCGATAAAAGGAAAATTCTTTGGTTTTCCCTTTGTCAGAAAAATTTGGGTTCGAAAAGGGAGATAATTAAAAAAATGAAACCAAGAAATATCCCCGGAGTCCCCCCCAAATTTCGGTTTTTAAAAAAGCTGCTTTAAAAAATTAAAAAAGAGAGTTTAAAATCAAAATGGATGAAAATTTTGCGAAACTGAAAAAAAAACATCTGAAAGATTTGTTTTAGGTAAATTACCCTTTTTTTAAACAAAGTCGGGGTCTAGTAAAAGCCATCTAAAAAATTTTTTAAAAGTTTTTTCCCTTTATTTTGTTTTTTTTTTTTTATTAAAGAAACTGTAAAAAAGGGAGAATTGTTTTTCTAAAAATGGTTTAAAATTTTTTTTTCCGGGACTAAACCCCCGTTTTTGGCTGGTGAAAAAAAAATACAGTTTTGTAAAAATTTTTAATGTTTTTTGACTTTTAAATCAGTTTTTTTTAAATTTCTTTCCAGTTTTCCCAATTTTTTTTTATCTTTCCATGTATTTTTCCGCAGTTATTTTTAAAACCATGTTTTTTTTTAATTGTTTGAAAAATTTTTTCGCAACTGTTTTAATGTTTTGGCCCCAATTTTTTTTTTTATGTTCAACCTCGCCATTTTTAAAATTTCTTTTCATTTAAATTTTCATATAATCACTTTAAAAATGAATAACTTTTTAAAATTTAAGGGGGTAAAAACCCCCTAATTGGTTTAAAAACCGAAGAGCGTGGGAATATTTTTTACTTAGCTTTGCTTCAAATTTAAAAGTTGAAACTAAAAAAGTTTGGTTTTTTAAATTATAATATTTAATTGTTTTTGGGGTTTTCTTTTTTTTTTTCTGAATTGTTTTTATTAGGGTTCATTTTGTTAATGTTGTACAATTATAATAAATTTTGTTGGAACGCCTTTTTTTCCCGTTTCAATAAGACAGGTCCAAACTATTTTTTAGTCAATACAATCAAAGAAAATTGTTTGTTTGTTTTTTTTTTTTTTTTTTGAAATACTAGTAAAAATTGTTTGTTGTTGTTGTTTTAAATATTAGGGGAAAATATCCATTTTTTCCCTAAAAAAAAAGATTTAAGGGAATTACAAAATTTTTTTATAAGAAACTAGATTTGCATATTTTTGTACATGTATTTGATATCTTTAAAACAGCCATTTCTACCTCCTTAAGCAACCTTTGTCCCTTTTTTGCATAAAAAAAACCCCTTGGTTAAATTTTTTTTTTTAACTTTAAAAAAATTTTTTTGAAAACGTTTAAAAAAGGGCCCAAAAATTTTTTTGGGGGCCCTTTTTTTTAAAAAAAGGGAAAAATGTTTTTTTTTTGTATGTCCCTATTATCCCCAAAATTTTTTGAAAAAGGGGAAATTAATATCTTTTTTCCTGATTCAAAAAACTTAATGCTTTTAAATTTTTATATTAAAAAGGTTTGGTATCCCCGGGAAAAATGATTTATTTTTAAATTTTTTTAAAGCTTTGGGGGCACTTCTATGGGTTTCGAAAAAAAGGGTTACTCTTTGGGCCATTTACTGAAGCAAAAATTTTTTGGGAAAATTTTTTAAAAGTTATAGTGATTTAGTTTTTTGGGAAATGGTGTAAAAAACTTTTTTGCTTTTATTTTGAAAATTTTTTCTCATTTATCGCTATTTTCTTCAGGTTAAAAGAATTATCATATTTTTAATAAATTAAAAATTTTTAATATTAAAAATTCATTTTCCCTTTTTAAA